CTCGGGTAGAGAACCGATGCGATCCTTCAATGGGACTCTAGCTTTGGGGAGATCCACGTTGTCATAGAGCTTCACCGGAAGTGCGGGAGCAGGGTCTGGAGTTGACGAAGGCCGGAGAGCATCGTCGTCTGCTTTTGCCTTAGGCGCTGATTTGGCCTTTGGCATCCAGACTTGCTTAGATCTTGGTGGTTTTTTGGCCACCTTTTCCTTCTGCAATTCCTGTGCCTTCCGTACAAGAATCCTCGTCTGCGCTAACAGTGCGCGGCGTTTATGGATGCGCTCCTTAAGAGTTGAACGGGTTCGTTTGACACGAACTCATTCATTAGTAGGTGGTTGGGAGGAGGTTCCTAAAACTTGTTGCTGGAATACTTTGCGTCTTCTGCGTTTTAGATCCGCATCATAGCAGATCCCGTCAACAGGCTTCAAAGCCTTGGCAAATTGACGCGCGAGATGTTGACGGCACCTTTGACAAGCCCTCTTCGTCAACACTGGTGCACTTTCAACGGGCAACTCCTTGACTTTCAAGGAGTTGTCACGAACGTTGGATCTGGTTTCTTTGGAAGCCAGCGGATCGTTGTGAGGTGTAACTACAGCAGCGACGACGGAGAGATCGTCTTCTTGGGTCTTCAGATCTGAAGACCAGCGGGTCTTCCTGGAGGAGGAGGCCTTCCTGCACCTGCAAGGAGAGGCAGATCTGGAGGAGGAGGAGGAGACATACTCCTCAAACTTCTGCTGGTCGAACTCGTATTCGACCTCTTCGAGCACCGGGATCTTGATCATCGGCTGCGGCACGACAGCTCCGGCAGCGAAGCTGTTGGCTCCCACTGTGGTCACCAGTTTGTTTGTGGTGAAAGTTGCTGTTTTCATTGCTATCGAATCTATTACAACTTTAGTCATTACAATAAACTCGAATGAAATAAAAAGTTGATCTTTTTATAAGATCTCCTTACACAATAAAAATAAAAAAAAAAGTTTACAACTTTATCAAACAAACGCAGAGATCCTTCATCGGTCTTCTGCTTGCGTGGGATCTTTGCCTCTGCCGGGGTTTATCCGTGGACCACCGTCGATCAGATCTGATTGCTGAAAAATTGGGTAGAGCTTCGTCTATCCACGAAGGGATCGAGAAATCATAGCTCTTATCTCGGCGAAGCGAGATAATCACTCTTCTTAAGATTGCCACAACGGGATAATCTTAAGGAACGGATCCGAGAAACTGTAGATCTGACGAATCTCTCTCTCTTGCGTTAAAGAACTGGATCCGATCTCTCCTCCTCCTCTCTAAAATCCGTGCACCTTCAGTCTTTAATCCGACAGGGCTTCGCCTAATCTCCAAAATTCCAGATCTGAAAAAAATGAGGCCTAAGGCTTGTATTTATAGGCTTGAGGGGATAACGGAGCGGTTAAAACACCTTAAAGACCCAAATCTGCCTTGGAGACACCCTAGGGTGTCTCCACTTGATCCGAGACACTCCATTGAGGTGTATTCATCCGCTTCCGCTGTAAATTCTTCGTCCGAACTCGGATTTGAGTGATTCGAAATGCGTTGGAAAGCTGACGAGGAGTTCTATCAGCTCCGAGAGTTAGATCATCTGTTGAATGAATGAGGCACGAAGGGCATTGTTCCTTCAATCGTTCATCGACATCAATCGAACTCCTGTGAACAGGATAGTGACGTTCATCGTCGTTCCTTAACACTGAGCTGTTCGTGGAGACCTATAGGTAATTTTTTATGCCTACAGTCTTAGCCTAGTGGAAGCCAAACTATCCTCGACCTGCTGTTGTTGTAGTGCTTATGTATTTTCTTACTGAACCTCCTGTTCAAACTCATCATCTTCATGATCCTCCTCTTGAACACGGCTAGAACCTGGTTGGTCCTTAGGTTCTATTTCAATCACCTAGGACTTTGAAGTCCCAAGAGTCCCAACACCATTAACCTTAGGCGTCCTAGCAATCATGGATTTCTCATCAAAGGTAATCCCTACTGATCACAAAGTTTGAATCTTCTGTACACCAAAGACGATAGCCTTTTACACCCTTTGCATACCCTAAGAATATTACCTTCTTGGCCCTCGCGTCAAGCTTTCCTTCGTTGACGTGATAATAGGCGGTACGCCCGAAAATTCTGAGCCTTTCATTATATGCATGCTCCCCTGACCACACGCTATAAGGTGTATCACCATCCAATGTCGAATGTGAAGAATGATTCACAATGTAATAAGCTGTAGCCACCGTTTTTGCCCACCATTCTTTGCCCAATCTAGCATATGATCGCATACTCATTGCTTTCTCGCACAATGTCCGGTTCAGCCTTTCTACGACTCCATTCTGTTGTGGTGTAGATCTGATTGTCCAGTATCTAGTAATGCCCTCCTGATCACAGAACTCCTTGAAAACACCATCTGTATACTCTGTACCGTTATCAAATCTTAGTGTCTTCAATTTCTTCTCTGTCCTGTTCTCAACTATTGCTTTCCACTTCTTGAATGTCTCAAACACCTCATTCTTATGCTTCAGAAAATAAATCCAAGCATATCTAGAATAATCATCTATGAACGAGACAAAATATATGAAACCACCCTTGGAAGTTGTCTGAGCCAGATCCCATACATCTGTATGCACATAATCTAATATACCTCTGCTCTTATGCTTGCTTCTTAGAATTTAGACCCTGTGCACTTTTTTGTACATACGATCCTAGTAAAAATCCATGCAATGTTTCTTTAGATTCTTCAGCAAACTCTCTTTACCAAGAAGATCTAAACCCTTCTCTGACATGTGCCCAAGCCACCTATGTCATAACCATGTGTGCTCACATGGGTCTCCACCACTTCCATCAGTTCTAACTGCTGCATTTTCTGTCACTATCGTACCCGAGAGAGTATATAGATTACCTTGATGAACACCCTTCATCACTACTAGGGAACCTCAAACAACCTTCTTCACTCTATTCTCTGTAACAATCTTGCAGCCACCGGAGTCCAAAGCACCAACTGAGATAAGATTCTTTCACAAGTCGGGAACGTGTCTCACATCCGTCAGGATTCTAATTACTCCATCATGCATCTTGATTTTGATATCAGCTAGCCCTACTTTTTTACAAGCATGGTTGTTCCCCATAAGTACGGTTCCACCGTCAATGCTTCTGTAGGTAGTAATCCATCAGTACGGTTCCACCGTTAATGCTTCTGCATGGTTGTTCCCCATCGGTACGGTTCCACTGTTTTACATAGCATTCCTTCTCGCTCCCTTCCTCTAAAACGTAGCTCGTTTCTTCCTTGTATTCTCTCCTCTCAGTCTTGTTGTTGTTCTTCTTTCCACCTACTCTCTTGTTAGGACAATCCACCTTAAAATGTTCTAGCTCACCGGAGCTTGCTCCTTATTACCACTAATGGTAATGTCACTAGTTATAATTTTTCGAAGATCATCCGCCAAAAGCATCATTCTAGTCTCATCCATCTTTAACTTGTCACCCACAAGCATCAGTGTTTGAATCAAATTTTCATAGGACTTCGGTAAAGAAAGAAGTAGTAGAAGCGTTTGATCCTCGTCTTTTACTATCACATCAATGTCCTTCAAGTCCGATATGATCCTATCAAATTTATTGATGTACTCCCGGATTGATGAGCCTTCCTCCATCTTGCATGTATATAATTTAGATTTTAAGTAGATCTGATTAGTTAGACTCTTCGTCATGAAGATACTCTCTAACTTTGACCACACACCCGCAGTCGCTTCCTCTCTATCCACCAAGAAAGCTATGTTCCTCTCAAGACATAGGATAATTGACGCTCGTGCTTCTAGATCTAACTCTTCGATCTCAATCCCCATCTGACATATCTTTGTGCTTCTTCTCTTTTTCTACCAATGCCTTGTACAATTTCTACGAAATCAACTAGTTTTTCATCCGCATCCTCCAATAGGAAAAATCATTCTTCCCATTGAACTTTTTGATCTCGTACATTCCAACTTTAACTGTTTTACTTGTAGACGGCATTCTCCGCTTGTATACCTTGTGTTCACCACACAATAATCAAGCACCACCTCAGATCAGAAATTTTACCACATCCAATCTGAATAAAGGGCTCTGACACCAATTGTTGGGAGGAGCCCACACGCCCACCCCGACGCGGAAGCGATATCACCTAAGAGAGAGCTCTGGCTTTTGTTGTCACAAAAGCTCAAGTCAAGCTCTATATTCTCTTTTCACTACGAAAACAAAAGCAGAAGTGAAATATCTCAACAAAGTGAGTGTAGATATACACTCTTCCTCTTATCAATGCTAGGACTGAATGTCGAGAGAAACAACAAGCAATAGCCAACACACATAAACAGTAAAGACACGAGATTTACGTAATTCGGCAAACTTGCCTACGTCCACGGGAGGGGGAAATGAGGATTTCACTATGAGGAGAATACCAACTTGTACAACCCACAAGCTCTCTATTATCTTCTCTCCTCAAAATCTCTCAATTCCTTTCTTCTCACTTCCTCTAAATCCCTCTTCTTCTCTCTACTTTAGGAAAAAAAAAGACATGCTCCATGTTTCGGGGATGGGGGTTCACAGTTATGATGATATTTAGGTCTAGAGGAAATTTTTAAGTTCATTTTTCCACTCTGTTTTACTGTTATTATTGGGTTTTTTTTGGGGGTTTTGGCCTACACTTGACTTTGGGGGGTTATTAATTTATCATTTTAAAAATTGTAACCTTTGATCATTTCTTATACATTCAGTTTTGGCTGAGATCGTATATTAGGTGTTTTTCAATTTTGTTTGACTATTTCAGTGACCTTGGACTTTTTCCAACTTTGTCAATGTTAACTAAACTTGTCAGTCATGGTAGGAGTTGTGACTGCCAGAATTGGGTTGTTGATGCTTTCATTTGTTTCTTCCAATTTCATTTTCATTTCCTCAGTGTTATATCAATATTAATAGAGATCAATTATTCATCAGCATTAACTAGTACTCTTAATTTTCCTGTTCCTACATCACATTGCAGTGCAATTGCTGAGTACCTGAGCAAGGATCTTCCGTACAAGCTATCTCCTGATGATGTGTATGTGACTAGTGGTTGCAACCAAGCAATTGAGATCCTTCTATCAGTTCTTGCCCTTCCTGGTGCAAATATTTTGTTGCCCAGGGCATGCTTTCCATTCTATGAAACGCGGGCTGCTTTTAGCAAACTAGAGGTCCGACACTTCAACCTCGTCGCAGAGAGAGGTTGGGAGGTTGATCTCGATAATGTAGAGGCTCTTGCAGATGAAAACACTGTTGCAATGGTCGTAATCAACCCTGGAAACCCTTGTGGGAATGTGTCAACTTATCAACATTTGAACAAGGTGCATTGCATGCAGTTATGGCCGGTTTGGGTTTTCCCCCCTTCTTATAAGCCTAAAATTTTATGCACATTTACTGTAAAACCCAGGTAGTTCCATATGCTATACTATACCATTAAACTGAAAAAAATAGAATACGAAATGTATGGCTACATACAATATGGTGTATAACTGTTGTGCGCCGCGGAAGCCCTAAATTGACAAATCGAAGGCACACACAAGACAATAGTAGACCACAAACCAATGCAAGCCAACCAATCACAGCACAAACACAAGATATACGTGGTTCGGCAATATGCCTACGTCCACGGGGCAAGGAGAGGGAAGCTTTACTATTCAAATCAAAGGGGAGTACAAGTTAGGGTTACAAATCTTACCCAAAACCCTCAAATAAGACCAAAAGATCTCTCAAATAGACTCCAACAATAGAAGCCCTCAAATCTCCCTTTGCTCAGCTCAAAATCGCCCAACCTCTCACCCTAAAAACGAGTTTAGGGTATTTATACAACTCCCAAGCGAAACGGGTCTGGAAACCTGAACCAACTGAAACCCGCTTCGTCGGTCGACCGGGTCGGTCGACCGCGATCAATTCCGGTCGACCGACCCGGTCGACCGACCACCTCCAGCAGAACCCCGAAAGAATCCAGAGAGCCGTCGGTCGACCGGGCCGGTCGACCGACCTCCTTGTGCACGAATCCGGTCGACCGGACCGGTCGACCGCACCTCCAGCAGAACCCCGAAAGAATCCAGAGAGCCCGTCGGTCGACCGGGCCGGTCGACCGACCTCCTTGTGCACGAATCCGGTCCACCAAATAGTTCCTCAACAGGTCCAGGAACAATACTCGAGCTGAAACACGATCTCCCCCAATCTTGATCAACTGATCAAACCGGCTGCATCTAAAGACTGCCTACGTATCCTCTTGCCCAAGGAATCAAGCCGAACGTAGTTCATCCAAATGGCCGCCAACGACCTCAACAACGAAGAATATTCAATAAGCTTAAACAATGACCAAACTTCACACCTGGTACGACTTTGGTCAACATATCAGCAGGATTGTCCTTAGTGTGGACCTTCTCCAACGTGACATCACCATCATCCAATACGTCACGTACAAAATGAAATCTGACATCAATGTGCTTCGTGCGAGCATGGTAGACTTGGTTCTTCGCCAAATAGATAGCTGACATACTATCACAATGTACCTGAATGGTCTCCTGTGCAATCCCCAAATCATCCAACAAGCCATGTAGCCACAAAGCCTCCTTCACTGCTTCAGTCACCGCCATATATTCCGCCTCCGTAGTAGAAAGCGCCACTGTAGACTGAAGAGTACATCTCCAACACACCGGTGCACTAGCCAATGTAAAAACATAACATGTAGTGGACCGACACTTGTCAAGATCTCCGACATAGTCTGAATCCACGTAACCAATACAATCCTGCCCTGTCTCATCATTCTTCGCAAATATCAACCCAACATCCACGGTACCCTTAATATACCGTAGAATCCACTTCACAGCCTCCCAATGCCCCTTCCCGGGGTTGTGCATGTACCTAGATACCATGCTCACAGCCTGTGACAAATCTGGCCTCGTACACACCATCGCATACATCAAGCTACCTACTGCACTAGCATATGGGACCTTCGACATATAATCTCTGTCCTCAACTGAAACAGGTGACATCAACGCTGAAAGCTTGAAGTGGGGAGCCAATGGTGTGCTAACTGCTTTTGCATTGCCATCAAAGCTGAATTTCTTCAACATCTTCTGCAAGTAGCTCTTCTGTGTAAGCTTCAATTTCCCCTTCACCCTGTCTCGCTCGATCTCCATACCCAATATCTTCTTTGCCTCTCCAAGATCCTTCATCTCAAACTCGGATGATAACTCCTCTTTCAGCTTTCGAATAGCTGAAGAATTCCTGGAAGCAATAAGCATATCATCAACATATAAAAGCAAATATATGAGCTCACCATCCTGTAGCTTGTGCATATAAACACATGGGTCATATGGGCTCCTCGTGTACCCTCGGCCAATCATAAAGCCGTCGAATCTCTTATACCACTGTCTTGGTGACTGCTTCAAACCATAAAGAGACTTCTTCAGCTTACAAACCAAATTTTCCTTTCCTGCAGCTTTGAAACCCTGTGGTTGTGTCATGTAGATCTCCTCATCTAAATCACCGTGTAGAAAGGCTGTCTTCACATCCATCTGGACCAAATCCAAATCCAACTGTGCCACCAACGCCAATAAAATCCGAATCGACGAATGCTTCACAACGGGTGAAAATACCTCGTTGTAATCAATGCCCTCAAGCTGTGCATATCCCTTGGCAACTAATCTGGCTTTGAACCGAATGTCCCCAATAGAAGATCCCTCCTTCTTCGCATATACCCACTTGCAACCAATAGCTTTCTTACCCTTAGGTAGATGTGCAAGTGTCCAAGTGTCGTTCTTCTGAAGAGACCGCATCTCCTCCTCCATAGCTTCCCTCCACCTGATCGAATCGGGGCTAGACTCTGCCTCCCTGAATGTGGCTGGAACCATATCATCAACGACCTCCACTGATAATGCATATGCGACCATGACATCATTATACCTAGCTGGCCGACGAATCTCTCTCCTCGGTCTATCTGCTGCAATGGTCCTCTGAACATGACCCTGTTCCTGAGTCCCATGATCTACTGTATCCTGTATCTGCCCATCTGTCATCTCATCTCCTCCCAGTGTCACCTCTGTAGGAGCCTCAATGGATACAGTGTTCTCTGGAGTGGGTGGAGTCACATCATCCTCCACCTGCTGCGATATCTCTCCTGTCTGGTCTCCCTCCACCTGCTGAGGGGCTCGAGGCCTCATCATGTACGCCTCGTCAAATGTGACATCTCTGCTAATAACTATCTTCTTGTCCTGTGGATCCCATAACTTGAAGCCTTTGACTCCATCCCTAAATCCCACAAAGACTGCTTTCCTCGCTCTCGGATTTAATTTGCCATCACTGACATGATAATAAGCTGGACACCCGAATATCCGAAGCGACTCATAGTCACTAGCCACCGAACCAAACCAACGCTCCAAAGGAGTCTTCCCGTCTATCGCAGTGCACGGCAACCTGTTCACAAGATGGCTCGCATAAACCAACGCCTCGGCCCAAAAAGATCTAGGCAATCCACTCTGCGTCATCATACACCGCACCTTCTCCAGCAAGGTACGGTTCAATCTCTCAGCCACCCCGTTCTGTTGCGGTGTCTCTCGAACTGTGAAGTGTCTTCTAATGCCGTGATCCCGGCAAAACTGCAGAAACGGATCACTCTTGTACTCTCCACCGTTATCTGAACGTAGAGTCTTCACCTTTCTACCTGTCTGCAGCTCCACTTTCTTTTTCCACTCCACAAAAATATCCAGGACCTGATGTTTATGCTTCATCGGGTATACCCAATTCCTCCTGGAATAATCATCAATGAAAGTGACAAAATAGTTGGCCCCACCAAGAGATGTGTTCTTGGAAGGACCCCAAACGTCCGTGTGAATATAATCCAATGTACCTTGGGTGTTATGAACAGCGGTGCCGAACTTCACTCTAGTCTTCTTCCCAAGTACACAATGCTCACACAATTCCATCTTGCAGGTCTTAGCACCTTTCAATAGCCCCTGTTTAGCCAATGACTGTAGGGACTTATCTCCTGTGTGTCCAAGTCTCATGTGCCATAAGGTGGTAGTGTCCTCCTCTGTAGTGATAGAAGCTGCCAGACCCCCTGTAACTGTCTTGCCCTTCAAGTAGTATAGGTAGTTTTCCCTGACACCTCGCATCACCACCATAGAACCCTTCGTGACCTTCACTGTAGCATCCTCTAAGATCACTCGATATCCTGCTGCCTCCAAAGTCCCAAGAGAAATGATGTTCTTCGTCAACTGCGGCACGAACCTCACTTCCTTCAATTCCCTCACTACACCATCATGCATCCTGATCCGGACTGAACCAATACCACCAATAGGGCATACGTGATCATTACCCATAAGCACGACATCCCCTCTTTCCAGCTCCTCAAAGCTAGAAAACCACTCCCTCTTACATTTTTTATTGTTTTTGGATATAAAGAAATGCCGAAGTTTTCAACAAGAAGAACTTCACAACAGATGACCTTGTTGCTTATATTCTTCATTCTCTTCATCTCTGGACGTGCCTCTCTATTAAATAAACATTAGTGAAGCTAAATTTTCTTTTGGATGATCCTCACTTTCCACTCCCCTAGAAGAGGATTGATGGAAATGAGGAGGGAGAGGCAAGCTAGTGGCTCGAGGATGGCGTATAGTAGTCCGATGATACCGAGTACTTAAGTTAGCTTCTATTATTATTATTATCATCTTGATCTCTGTAATTTGTTTGTAATTAATACCTTCTTTTGTTGCCCAGGGGCTGCAGGAGAAGTCTAATTTCTACGTGGTTTTCTATTTAGTGGATTGTCAATTAGGTTGTATTGTGCTTGTGATGAGTGGCGACTATCTACTTTCCTCACCCTCACAGAACTCTTCTTGACGTAAGGTCTTCTATAGGCTTAGAAATTTTGTTCTCCTATCGATTGCTTTGTATGTTTCGAAGTTTAATATACATTGGTGCTTTGCTTTATTTTTACCTCAAAAAATAAAGAAGCTAAATTGACAAATCGAAGGCACACACAAGACAATAGTAGACCACAAACCAATGCAAGCCAACCAATCACAGCACAAACACAAGATATACGTGGTTCGGCAATATGCCTACGTCCACGGGGCAAGGAGAGGGAAGCTTTACTATTCAAATCAAAGGGGAGTACAAGTTAGGGTTACAAATCTTACCCAAAACCCTCAAATAAGACCAAAAGATCTCTCAAATAGACTCCAACAATAGAAGCCCTCAAATCTCCCTTTGCTCAGCTCAAAATCGCCCAAACTCTAACCCTAAAAACGAGTTTAGGGTATTTATACAACTCCCAAGCGAAACGGGTCTGGAAACCTGAACCAACTGAAACCCGCTTCGTCGGTCGACCGGGTCGGTCGACCGCGATCAATTCCGGTCGACCGACCCGGTCGACCGACCACCTCCAGCAGAACCCCGAAAGAATCCAGAGAGCCGTCGGTCGACCGGGCCGGTCGACCGACCTCCTTGTGCACGAATCCGGTCGACCGGACCGGTCGACCGCCACCTGTTTTTCCTGATTCTGCTGCTGATGCTGAAATTCCTTCAATAACTACATATTATAGTGTATAACTATACATAACTACATGCTACAGGGCATATAGCTTCGTACATTAAGGTACGTATACATAACTTATAGTACGTAGCTCTACATTTTGTATTCTATATTTTGAGTTTAAAGGTAAGTGAACTTTGTTTTTTGGGTGTATAAGAACTTATTGAACTACGTGGGTTTTGAAGTAAATGGAGGTAAAGCTTTGGTTTATATGCAAAAATCTCTTATCATGTTTCATATCTTACAATTAAAAGTTTATTAGGTAAATTTGAATTTTTTTTTTAATCTTTAGATTGCCGAGACTGCAAAGAAGCTTGGCATAATAGTAATAGCAGATGAAGTGTATGATCACTTAACATTTGGGAGCAATCCATTTGTGCCAATGGGAGAATTTGGGAAGATTGTCCCCGTAATTACTCTGGGTTCTATATCAAAGAGATGGGTCGTTCCTGGCTGGCGACTTGGTTGGATAGTGAAGAGTGACCCCAGCGGCTTTCTTAAAGAAACTATGGTGATTAACACTCTTCATGCTTTACCTTCAGATATTTGCTTCTTTTGGATCTACTATATAGTTTTTTTAAAAAGTTTATAATGCTCTCTAGCTCAAGGTTTTAAATATCGTTTATAGGGGATTTATCGGATGGTCAAAATCCATAATGGGTAGTAGAAATCGGCGATATGTCAAGGATAAATAGTAGTTACCGGAGTGTCATATCTAAGGGCGTGCATGCATAATATGATGTCCTAAAATATGATCTTGAATAACATACAAGAAAATAACAAGATAAACTAATCAACTGTAGAAACTTAATGAAATATAAACATACCAAATTGAAAATTCACATGTTTAAGATCACTAATCAAATATAAATACACATGTTTAAGATCACAAAACGATAATTCTGATAAATTTTACCGCTATACTCGGCCGACTTATCAGCTTATCGCCACTTTATCGCCGATAATTACCCCAAAACGATAACATATTAAACTTTAAACTTACCATAACGGAAGGACCATAAAACTAATAAATCGCTGATAATATCGATTTATCAGTCAATATTTAAACTTTGCTCTAGTTCTACAGATTACTGCCATAGTTTCTTGTAGAAATTATATACATTTAGTCATTTCATGTATGCACATGCTCATTAGCAAAATTACGAAATTAGTCTCCTAAGAAATAAATAACTAATATACAAAAATAGAAAATAAAAGTATTCCATTTGCAGTTTGAGTCTGAAGATGAATATCTTTTACCCTCAAACTGATTGGGAGCATCAGTAATGTTCAAGGCGTATATAACTTTTTTAGCTTTCTGAAAACATATTAAATAAGGATTCTGAGATCCGAGTTAAAAGATATGACCCTCTGAAGTTACATGTCAAAATCTGCCTAAAAATTATCTTTTTCGTTTTGATTGCCCCGACTTCGAGTGATCTGATTTATCCCAAAATCATTAGCTATTTCCTCTGCATCACACATGGCAACTCACATTACTAGCATTGTAATCACATACAACAAAACAAACTTTAATAGTGTTTCTCTCCCCTCAAAATGAAGAAGCACACTCATATTCACATAAGTATATATAACAAATCCTAAGAACAAATTGCAAAATCCTAACTAATAAATAACTAAATTTTTTTATCTAATCCCTAATTAAATTAAAATTCTAACTAAAATCAAAATCCTAACATAATTTTCTCATCCTAATTGTAACAAAGGGAATCTTCTTTCTCCTGCATTAAATTTTGGAGAAAGGTCGACTCAAGTTTTGACATGAACAATATGAAAATCTCGAGCTAGTGTCGATTATGACCTTAATCTTAGGTCCTCATGTTATGCTTTAGAAAATCTGCATCAAAATCTCAATATTCATGCCTACACCAATATTAGTCTAACATGTGATAACTATGGATGAAGAAGGAATGAAGGTTTTAGTTTTATGAATGACAAAAAAGACACAAATTGCGCCTTGCAACTTAACAGACACATGCCTAACAAAATACAAGATGAACCTCACATGCCTATTGTTGCAAATTATATGCAACAAAACAGACAGACTTTCATAAACTGCCTCTCCTCTCCACAAACCAGGTACAATCATATTAGTAGGAGTAAAATTGTGAAACAAAATCCTAAATACGAGTAAAATCCTAACCAACAAATGACATCAAATGTAAAAGTGCAATGAAACCTATACATTTGAAATTATAATGCGAACCAAAATCCTAACAAATCTTCCTAATCTGAACTGCAAGAAACCAAATGTAGCTTTTCCTTCTTCAAATTTTTTGTATTTTTAATGATGCACATTTGGTATATCAGAACATAAGACTGCAAACACAGTTAGCTCCTTACAGAAAGATGGACTATCACTCTATTAGTTCAAAGTCAAACGCTAATTTTTTGATTGGATTGATAATAGGTAGTCATCAAAGACTTATCCTTGTCATCATCTCTTGTCCCTGTGGTTCTCTCTCTCTCTCTCTCTCTCTCTCTCTCTCTCTCTCTCTCTCTCTCTCTCTCTCTCTCTCTCTCTCTCTCTCGGTATTTCTCATTTGCTAAGGAGCTGCTTGTCACAAAGTGATCCTGCCTTTTGTTTGGTCTTCAGAAGAAAGGCAGCTCTAAATTGGCCACTCTAGTTTTTTCCCACAAATCAGGGTTAGTCAAAGAAATTACGTTTTGAATATTGCTGTATGTTGTCATCATACTTGGCCTAGTTTGCATTCACAATTAATACATTCAATACATGGCAAATGTTCCAACAGTGGAAGAGGAGAGTAGTAAGTTGGGACTGTGTAAGTATTAAAGTGGTTACTAGGTGCTTAGCAGCTGCTAATTGTTGGGGATCCGAAATAATCAAATAGAATATGTGCCCTTCCGGACCTTGTGTTTGAGAGTTGAGTAAGTAGGAAAATCACCACAAATAAAAGATAAACTTGCAAGAAAGTAAACAAGAAAGAACACACCAGATTTAAGGAGGTTCGGCAACGTGCATACGTCCTCGGGAGCCACACCAGATTACAATGCTTACAATAGGCCTCTCTCTAAGAAATTTGATCTCAAAGAGCCGACAAAACCCTCTATTTTTCATGCCTTTATAAACCCTAAAACATATAAGAGTATATATAGAAGTCTGGGTGGAAAGAGAATCCCGATCAAAACAGGAAACTAGAAAAAACATCGTCGGTCGATCAGACATGATGTTTCGGTCGACCGGCCATAACGTAGTTTTCTTACAAGGTCTGGTGCACGTTTTCGGTCTACCGAACCATCACCTTCGGTCGACCGGATGACCACTCTCGGTCGACCGGACGACCACTCTCGGTCGACCGCCATCTTACATCGGTCGACCAGCCAGAGTGATATCTTCCTCTTAGTTTTCTATAGGGTTCGTGGTCGATCGGATATCCTCCTCTGGTCGATCGACCAGCAATTTGACTGTTTCCTTCTTCTTTTGATTCCAGCTTTGGGTCTACATCACTTAGACTAACAATCTCCCACTTGGAGACCAAAGCGTCGTCAACAAGCTCTCTCAGAACTTCTGACTTCTTCGCATGCATCTTCTCCTCTCGGATAAATCCATTTTTTAATCATCATCTTCCCAGCGATCCCTTCGATTCCCCAGGTGTGGCTCCGCCTTCACCTCCTACGCGTGAAGGCCAACTAAAGTTACGCACAACTCTAGTTTCTCGATGGTCACTGCTTTCGTTAACATATCTATAGGATTTTGACTCTCCAAAATATTCTCTAGCTGTAACTTCCCGTCCTCAATCAGCGAGCGTATGAAATAGTATCGTACGTCAATATGCTTCATTCTGACATGATATACTGGATTCTTAGCAATGTATATAGTACTCTGGCTATCACAATAAAGAACTATACTCCCCTGCTTCATATCCAACTCTTCCAGGCATCCTGTCAACCAAATCATTTCCTTGTTTGCTTCAGTCACCGCGACATACCCAGACTCAGTTATAGACAATGTTACAATCTTCTGCAGAAGTGAAACCCAAGTCATTGTTGTCGATGCTAAGGTATAAACATACCCCGTGGTACTCCGCCCCATATCATGATCACCAGCGAAATCCATATCCACGTATCCCTACAGTACCAATTCCTTTCTGAAACATAGTGGCTTGTCTGTAGTCCCTCGCAAGTAGCGTAATATCCACTTCATGGCCTCCCAATGTTGTTTTCCTGGATTGCTTACAAACCTGCTCACAACTCCCACTGCATGGGTGATATCCGGCCTTGTGCAAACAATCATGTACATGAGACTCCCAATGACTGACGAATATGATACTCTGCTCATATGCTCCCTCTCTGCATTTATCTTGGGTGATTACTCCTCAAATAACTCGAACTGACTTCCAATAGGTGTGTCGACAGGCTTTGCATTCTGCATGCTGAATCTCTAAAGTATATTCTCGATGTATTCAACTTGACTCAACCTTAACGTCCTTTTAGCTTCATCTCTACTTATTCGCATCCTAAGAATCTACTTCGCTACACCCAGATTCTTCATAGCAAATTCGTTTGCTAACTGCTTCTTCAATCTGTTTATCTCTTCTAAACATGGTCCTGTAACTAACATGTCATCAACATACAATATAACATGATAAAGCTAGACTCGAACCTCTTGAAGTAGCAATAATAATCTGAATTACATCTCCTATAGTCATTGTTCTGCATGAAGTTGTCGAACTTCTTATATCACTATCTCGGAGCATGTTTCAATCCGTACAAGCTTTTCTTGAGCTTACATATCATCTCTTCATTTTCTTCTTCAATGAAGCTAACAGGTTGCTTCATGTAGATTTTTTCATCCAAGTCACCATAAAGAAAGACAGTCTTCATATCTAACTGCTCAAGATAGAGATATTCTGCAGCTACTAAGCTCAATACCACTCTGATGGGGAAAATATCTCCGTATAGTCCACTCCTTCATGTTGTTAGAACTCCTTCATGACTAATCTGATCTTGTAGCTCTTACTTTCATCACTCTCCTGCTTGACCCAATAGACCCATTTTTATGTAAGACTTTCATCTGCGCACGTAGCTGAGCTAACTCCCATGTCTCATTAGTGTGTAGAGAATTCATCTCTTCTTGTATCGTATGCTCCTACTGTTGAGATTCACTCACTTGTATAGCCTTCTCATAGCACTCTGGTTCTTTGCTATCTGTCAAAAGTAAATAATCAAATGATGAGAAATATTTGAGATTCAGTTTGGATTTTCTGGATGACCTTCTAAGCTCCACGTCCTGAGTAGTCGTCTCTGTACCTGGAGCCTCCTCCGTTCTTCGGTTAGAATTGACTTTGTCGCCCCTATCTGGAAGTTCCTCTAAATTAATGTACTCAGATCCACATGTATCTGTAATGCTGCTCCCACTACTTTGGCTATTCTAGACATTGTCCATGTTCTTGTACATCATATCCTTATTGAATATCACATCCCTGTTTCGGATGATTTTCATATTCTTCTCATCCCAAAGACGATATTGTAGGCGTCAAAAAATGCTAATAGATATCCCAAGCATAGAGAAGATCACTCAAAAATTCACAAAAAAGGATCAAAACAAGT